TCTCTTAATTTCTTCCATAACCTTATGAAAACACAGCTCTGGGAGCTGGGCTTTCCCAGCAGCTCTGCTCCAGGGATGCAGCAGGGTCATTACAGCCAGCTGGGGCCCCTGTGTGTGTGTGTGTGTGTGTTTGCTCTGCCCTGCAAGCTCCACATCCTACAGAGGTGCCTGGGACAGGATTCCTGGCTCTCTCCTGCTTGAAATGAAAGTCTAGGAACAGACAGCTGGATTGAGGAGATGGCAGTGGGAAACAAAGAGGTAGGAAATGGAAAGCAGAGAAGGAAGGGAGGCTGGAAATAAAGCAGAGAGGATGCAATGGAAAGGAGGGTGGCCAAGGCTCTCTGCAGGCACAGCATGGAGATTCCTGGGGTCCTGTGGCTCCTGGAGGTGAAATTGGAACTGAATTCCACTGGAAAGTGGAACCAGGATGGAGGGTGGGCTGTGCCAAGGACCTGGTGCCTCTGCTCTAGTGGAAGGAAATGCTTGTGGAGAGTGAGCTCCTTCCACACCCAGCAGGGAAAGGCAGTGTGTCTGCACCACTGGGAGACCAGGAAACCAGCCTGGCACCTGGCAGGAACTGCAAGTGGTGTAGAAAACAGATCACTGAAAAAGCTGCTAACACAGAGCAGGAGAAAAAAGGGTTTTTCCCTCAACAGACAAAAGAGAAAAGCCAAGAAATGCCAGATGTTGTGTTGGACAAATGCTTCATAAATTGGAAGGATTGCCCATGGCTTGAGCACTGCACACACAGATATTTATGTGAAGTACCAGGGATGGCTGCTCTCACTTCCACGGGATTTGAGCCCATTAACTGGCTCTGAGTGTTGAGACACAGCAAGAATTACTGCTAGGCACCAGAATTTTCCCTACAGCTGTAAAGAGAAAGAAGGCAGCACTATCACCAGGGTGGCCAAGGCTGCTGGAGTGAAGAGCAAAGCTGGCTCCTGGGTGAGTAATCCCACATCTCCCACCCACAGAGCTCTGCTCCTGCACCCCAGTGCCCCGGACCAGCCACGTCAGATGTCACAGCTCCCTCCAGCCCACGTTCCTGGGGGTTTGCCATGGAAACCAGCATGATGGCTGCGCTGTGTGGACTGCGAGTGGGGCTGGGGTGAGCAACAGGACCCAAAAATGGGGCTGGAGGCAGGAGTGAGATGGGGAGCTGTGCTGCTGAGTGGGGAGGGACCAAACGCCACTTCCAGGGTGTTCAGGGCCTGTGTGGACAAATCCTATAAAGGTCCTAATATTAATAATCAGTCATTCTCTAATTAAGGTTCAATATGATCACTTCCAGGACTGGGCCTGTGGAAATCTGGCAGAGTGTAAAAGAAATGTGCAAAGAAATGAGGTAAAATTTCCATGTGCAGCACGCCATGTTCTTTCCGTGGGTTTATGGAGAGGAGGGAGAGCTGGGCTGGAAAGGTCAGGGGTGCTCTGCATGGAGGAGCTCCCACTGCCACAGCCATCATTTGGCTGTTAACAGCATAAATCAGAAAGTTCATTCCTGCAGAAAGCCTGCATGACTTCCCTGCTGTGGGAAAAAAAAAAAAAAAAAAAAACAAACCTAGAAGCAAAAATGGCAAAACACCAAAAAGGGTGAAAAGAGGGAGAGAAGACTGAGTGAAGCCGGGAGAAGAGGAGCTGTGGGAGGGAAAGGAAAACCTTCCCAGCTCCAGGGGCAATCTGGCATTCTGGCAGGTTGGAGCATGGGGAGGTGAAGCAGCAGCTCAGGGTCTGTGGGGACCTGGAGACAGACAGACACACACCAGGGACCTGCAGCAGAAGGGGTTAATGGGCAAAGAAAGCACTTGAAGTCTTGGATATGGAAGTGGTAAGGAAAAAAGTTGATTTCAAAGAAATGCTGTTCTCTGTTTTTAATTCTAGGCAAACTTTTTTTCAAAGCACAAAATCTTTTACTGGAAGTTTTCCATTTTCTGTCTCTTTTCCCCCCATTTCAACCCCTCTGAAGATCCCTGCTGTGCAGTCCCCAGGTCTGGATATGCACACAGCAGGTTGCAAGGGTTGCAAACTGAATTTCTTGACTGCGGCAAGAAAACCAGGTTTGAGAGGGGCTGAGGGCTGTGCCAGCACAGTGACCTCAGGGCTGGGCAAAGACACAGAAGGGAGGGGACAGGAATGAGCCACCCCACGCCAGGCCTGCATGGAGAGCGACTTGAGCAGCTCTTTTCATCCCTAAAGCTTCTCCCTCGCCCTCTGAGCAGGGTTTGCAGCAGGGGGAGATCTCAGCCCGTGCAAAGCCAGCCTGGCTGAGCTGTGCCTCGACAGCAGCCAGTCCCAGGGCAATGTGGGATCTGAACATCCTCTGGTTACTCCTTGCAAACCCTACAAAGCTGCCTCTGCACCACCCACGCGGAGCTGACACCAGGGCTGGGAGACAGAAGTGCCTTTGTCACCCCTTGGGAGCACCCCCGGGGTAAGTGACACAGCTGGGGCACTGCCACATCCCCGGGCCCAAGGCTTGACCCTGCAGCTCTCCAAAAGGCACATTCCAGGCTGGGAATGACAGAGGGAAGAGTGTTGGCCTCAGTAAAAAACATAGGGGAGGCAAAGCAAGCTGTGAAACACCTGATGTGGTCAGGGACACAAGAGCCTGGTACTGCCCTGAGCTGGGCAAAACATTCCTCTAAGGCAAGTGATGGAAAATCATTGTCTGGCACTGTGCTGCTTGGATTTGCTCTTGGATTTGAAGGATTTGATGAGATAGGATAATGCTTCCCAATAATTTTTGCCCCACATTGCCCAGTGTACACTGAAATAAGGAGACTCTGGAAGGTTAAACCTGCTCAAGGCAGTGATCTGCTGGAGCTGCACGCTCTCTTTGATGAATGTTATCTTCTGTCTTCTTTAAAGCTTGGTCTTAAACTGGACCTTTGATTGCACCAGGCTTTTGTCATCATTTCTGAGTGCTCAGCTTTTGAAGATTCACTTCTGCATGAAGTTCTTGAAAAGAGCAATAGTCAGCAGTTGTACAGCAAAGCAGTTTTTCCAATAAGTATTAATGTAATTAGGGAGAGGGGGATGTGTGCTGGAGCTTAAGAAACACAATTTTAAATACACAGGGAGAGTAGATAGGACAAGGACAGTGGAGAGGCACACTAGGATCATCACCTGGATTTCAGAGCTTGTCCTTTTGCTGACTGGATAAGCTGGTCACATTTAAAAAAAAAAATCAAAAAGTAGATTCTCACCAGTGTGAGACTCTGGTCATTAGATATCTCAGTGAGGTGTGATCAAATCCTGAAATGCACCAGTGATGTCTGACCACTCTTGGAATGGGTGATCACAGTGGGAGAGCTCAGTATCCTGCCTACAATCCCAAATGTCCCACGTGCATCCCCAAGAGTGAGTGTTCTTGTTGTCTCTTTCCAAATGGCTGCATTTTTGTCATCGTGGCCATCTTCCTCAGGAGCCTGCTGGGTCAGTGAAGTCACTCAGCAAAACAAGGATCAAGGCAGTGCTTGGCAGAGCAGGGTATGGGATGGTGGGTCCCAGAGGTCCTGACTGGTGTGCTGTGGAAGGGCTGTTGAGGTGGGAGAAGCTGTAGCCATGGGGATCACCTGTGGAGTAATCTGAGGGATTAGCATCTGGCAGAGTTTAGAGGATAGGCTGTGGGACAGACTGCAATACAGCCCAGAGGAGAATGAGTCGGGTGGGCAGTGGGGTGTGGGACGTTAGCATCTGGCAGAGTTTAGAGGATAGGCTGTGGGACAGACTGCAGTACAGCCCAGAGAATGAGTCGAGTGGGCAGTGGGGTGTGGGACAGGCTGTGGCACAGCTGAGGGGACAGCCCACAGGACAAGCCCCAGGATACCCCTGCAGTGCCAAGGGCTCTCCTGAGAGACTCCCAGTGCCTGCTCCAAGCTGGCAGGGGAAGGATGTGAAGCAAAGGCTTGCACTTCCCGAAAGAACAGCCTTGCTGCTGCCTCTGGGAGCTTTAGAAGCACCACTGCCTTCAGCCTGAAGGGTCAGCCCAGCTCTGGGACCCACTCAGCCCTCTAGCCATACAAATCCCCTTTGCAGGGCAGCAGAGCCCTGTCTGCATTTCCAGGGACAGCCAAGGAAAAGCCACAGCCAAGGACAAGCCACAGCCCAGCCCCTGGCCTCTGCTGGGGTCAGTTTTGTCTCTCTCTGTCCACACAGAGGGCTCGGGGTGGGCAGGGTGAGCATCACCGACCGCGCTGCCCCAAGCCCTGCTCTCCCAGCCCAAACAGCACAAAAGAGGCCAGGAAACGCTTTTGTGCTTTTGCAGCCCCTCCATCAAAAGCCCCAGAAAGCCCAGAGAGCTCCTGCTGGCAGGAGGGGCAGCGTGCTGGCTGTGCAGCCTCTGCTGCCCCGAGCTCCGTGCCCGCCGTGCCCCGGGCACTGCAGATGGCATTAAATAACAAATTCCTTCACTCCGGGGGTGGCACGGATGGCGGTGGGCGAGAGCACGGGGTTTGTGCTTTCTTCGCGCTGCTGGTGCCTACAGGGAGGGAAAAAGCCTCTGCTTGTTCCTTCTGGCCTTGCAATGATAACGGGAGGGATGTGGAAATGGAGCGGCTGAGTTTGGATTGAGACGGTCCAAGCCGTGGATGGCAGTGGGTGTCCGAAAGGACACTTCCAGCACAGGGCACTTCCAGACGGGAGCCTGTCACTGTGCAAGCAGCTCACCAGGAGAGGCACTAACTAATAATTACGATCCAATTTCAGCGTAAAATCAAATTATATCTCTCGCCACCCCGATGAAGGGTTTTTTTTTCCTCCTCCGCAGCCCCCCCGGGGGATAAATGCCGCTTGATCTTGTGCCGGTCAGTGCCAGGGTCAGAGCCCGAATGCGGATGCCCAGCAACTCTCAGCCTTAAAGCCACGAGGGGCTGTTGCTATGGGAATGGAGAGGGGGCTTGCAGGCAGCATCTGGAGCCTGTGCCTTTCCCCGTCCGAGGCAGCTGGATTCGGAGGGAAGCAAAACTAAAAGGAGGTGGCAGAGAGAGACAGAGGCACAGCAAAATGCATGCATGTTAGAGGAGGGACCTTCCCAGAATGAGAGTACAGTGGGATACAGAAGAGCGGGGACACCAAACTGTCAGGCAGCGGTGGCTCGGCTGGGCAGGATAGACCCGATTTTCCGCTCTGATTGACACTGGAAACAAGTCCGGTGAGAGCCCAGCTGTAGCAAGATGGGATCTGCCTCCTCCACTTACCGGCCCAAATGTATTTATTTGGACATTGATGGAAGAATTCAAAAGGTACTTTTGCTGTTTTTCACCAAGTGGCGTCTCCGGACGCGGCGGCTGCGGGCGGCGTTCGCTGCACGGCCGATCCCGACGCGCACCCAGCGGGCTCCGCATCCCTTTTCCAGGGGAAGGGGGGGGATCCTGCGTGCCTTCTGCTTCCTACACGGATGTTTATTTAAAGGGGAAGGGGAGGCTGGCAGAGGGGAGGGCTGGGCGCTGCCAACAGCAAGTGGCTGCCAGCTCTCCCTGCCGGCGCGGGGATCCTGGGCTTCGCAGCCGCGCTGGCTTCCGCTCCCGGAGCGGCGTCGCGCCGTGTTTACAAAGTTTAGCCCGGGGCCAGGTTTCCCCCCCAGGCACTGGGAGCAGGGAATACAGCGTGCCGAGCTCCTGGGAGACTGCCTGCCCCAGGGCTCTGCCCCTGAGCATCCCGCTCCGGCCGGGATGAAGGTCAGGCAGGTGCTCGGCTCTCGGTGCGGTGCCGGGGGCTGCGGGGACCCCGCTGCCTCTGCCAAAGTTGCTGGTAAATGCCGATAATTAAAACTTTCACTGCCGTCCGCCTGCCTTGTTTGGTTAGGCACGGTTCACAGCGCAGGGAGGGCTGCGGGAGAAATGTGTCCTGGCTAAAAGGGAGAGCTCGCACGCTGCCGAGCTGACAGCGCACTGCTTTCAAACAGAAACGATGCCGACGCCTTTCTGCAAGGCTTTTTTTCCCCTCCCTTTGTCAGCAGTTCTTTGGCCTCAAACGAAGTGCCTTTTCTGTTACAGAGAGCTGCTGAGAGGCTCCAGAGCAAGTAAACTCTGATTTGCAAAATTCACATCGCTCTCGTCTTGCTGCTCTAAATTTTCGGTTCACCCGATCTCGCCTTTTGTTTTTAATTCTGTAAAGAAACAGCAACGGTGGCCTGTCCCCTCCTTCCCCTCTGCTGTGTGCGTGAGTGGAGAGCTGGAACTCCCGGTCCCATCCCACCACACACGCCTGCAATCCCCTCCACCACTGCCCTGGAGACCCACGGCGACCGCTCAAAGTCGTGTCCTCAGCAACAAGAGCCTGGAGAATCCAGATCTGTGCCGGATTCCCCAGAGAAAGCTGCTCCTCTTGATCCACCTTAGACGTAGCTCAGTCGCGGTGATGGTCCCTGTGCTGCCGTGAGATTGTCCCTGCCGGCTCTGCTGAGCTCAGGGCACTGATTCTGTTTTTCCAGGGTTTAATAAATTGGTTGTCTGGTGGCCCCCCGAAGCATGGATGGAATGGAGCCTGCTGGTACCTGTACAGTTCAGTACAAAAAAATGTTTTGGCATTTCGAAAGGGTGGTGAGTGTTTCCATAGATGTCGGTAATGCACAGTGTTTGTCATCTATGCCAAATTAAAAAAAAAAAAAAAAAAAAAAAAAAAAAACCCCAAAAAACTACAGCATTTCTCCAACCAGCCTCTGGAGAGTACTTTTAACACTAAAGGCACAGGAGAGGCACAGTCACATGAGCAAGCAAATGCAAACTCAGGCAGCATTAAGGGTGTTTAATCTCGGTAAATGTTAAGTGTTTCTTTTGTCGGATGTAAAATCCCGCCCGTGTAATGTTTGGAAGGATTCCTGAAGTAAAAACGCCGTGTAAATGGGGTTCACCCAGCGGTAAGCAGGGCATAGCTCAGATTCTCCTACCTTCTCAGTAACATCATTAGAAAGAAGCAGAAAGGAGGGGAGGGGAAAAAGCAGCAGGCCTTAATCTTCCCAGGAATGCAGCAGTGGAGGCTTCTGAAGGGAACTCATTAAATCAATGCTAAGCTTCTTGTCAACCAATAACGAGGAACGAGCTTCATTATAACAGCACTTGTTGAGTTTGAAAGGGCTCAGCTCCAGCGCCAACTGGCCCTGCTGGGCATCGTGAGCATCCTGCCCCAGCATTGCTTGTGGTTGCAGCTGTTCAGAGGCAATTTTTGTGTTTCCATGGCCTCATCCTGAATTTCCAGCGGTGCAGCCGAAGGGTGTGCTGTTGACTTTGGGAGGAGTTGTTTCACCTGGCGCCGGGGTGAAGGAAGGGACAAGCCTGGCCAGGGAGCCGCACAGGATCTCCCCTGGGACCCTGCAGATGAGCACGGCAAAGCGCTCTGCAGCAGGAGAGCGGAGTTAAACTGAGTGGATTTGTGTGCTGGCAGCTCCAGAGGGAGGGCAGAGGGACCTGGTGGTTATGAAAGAAGAGTTGGCTGGCTTTGAAACCCTTCCCAGGAGTTATTAAAATAAAGGAGGCACCATCAGCCCCGTTGAAAGCAGGACCACGCACGTCCCAGAGGAAGGGCTGAAATCCGTATCTGCCTCTCACAATATCCTTCTGGACAAAATGTCCAGCCCAAAATGTCCAGCCCACAGCTGGATAACTATGTGGAGTGGTGGATAAGTAACTGGCTCACAGGCCAGGCACAAAGGGTTGTAGTGAAGGGGGTGACATCAGGCTGCTGTCCAGCCACCAGCGGGGCTCTAGAGGGCTCCTGTGCTTTTCAGCACCCTCATCAACAGCCTGGACACAGGATTCTAATGAATACTAAACAAGTTTGTTGATCACACTAAATTGGGAGGAGCTGTTGGCTCCCTCAAGGCCAGGGAGGCCCTGCAGAGAGACCTTGACAAGTTTGAGGGTTGGGCAATCACCAACTGGATGAAGCTCAACAAGGGAAGATGAAGGATTCTGCACCTGGGATGGGGTAACCCTGGATGTGTTCATCAGCTGGAGAGTGAGATGCTGAAGACCAGCACCCAGGGAGTCCTGGCTGAGAGAAATTTGAATATGAATCAGCAGTGCCCTGGCAGCCAGGAGGGGACATCCCAGTCCCAGAGCCATCAGACCCAGCATGGCAAGGGAGGCGATTGTCCTGTGTTGGTGTTTTTGGGGCCCTAGGATGAGGAAAGAGATGAATTTGACTCTATATTTTTCAGAAGGTTGATTTATTATATTATGATATTATATTAAAAGAAATGATATACTAAAACTATACTATATAAATTACCAATTTTCCAAATCACATTCTAAAGCAGCAAAACAGGGAGAAGCTGAAGCTTCCCAGCTTCCCAGGAGAAATACTAGGCAAGGGAATTTTTCCAGAAAATATCATGGTGACAGTCCTGCTCTGCTCTGGGCTGGGGCAGCCTCACCTCGAGTGCTGGGGACAGTTTTGGGCACCACAATATAAAAAAGTCATTAAACTAATTAGACAGTGTCCCAAGGAGGGCCATGAGGATGGTCAAGGCCTTGAGGGGAAGCTGTATGAGGAGCAGCTGAGGTCACTTGGTCTATTCAGACTGGAGAAGAGGGGTCTGACCTTCCAGAGGCACAGCCAGGCACAAAATTGTCTTCAGTAAAGCTGACACTGTGTTGGGCCCTCCTCCAGTGGGCAGAGCTGGCTGAACACCTCTCCAAGCTGGGGCAGCTTTAGGAGCAACCTGAGGTGCCCAGCCCATCAGAATCCACCCGTGGGACCCCAGGCTGGCAGAGCTGTGGTCATCCAGGGCTTTGGAAGGGGGAAGACCAAAGGCTGTGGATGAGATGACAGCCATGCTCCAGATCCAGGGCTCTGCACAAACCAGCTTCAAAAATGTCACTTGTTCTTGGAGCTGGGTGAAAAATGAAATTCCAGTGTAACCCTCTTCCTATCCAGCACCAGGTGAAGGGATGCACACCTGGGGGAAAGAAGTGCTGCTCAGTTTATTTATTTGTAAAGGATCTTCTCAACCAGCAGTCCATCACCCACTTGCTTGGACACACACAGTTCCCTGTGCACTTCTCAGGAGCACCTGGGGCTGAGCACACAGGGAATCAGCTCCGTGTGCCAGCCCTGCCACAGCTCCCAGGCACAGGAGAGGACAGCAGGGCAAGGGGAGGCCCTGGCTGTGATTCATGTAGGATAAGGTATTTCCACAAACCCCCATGGGCTGGGATTTCTCCTAGCTCCTGGAGTGCCACTAGATGGGGTCAAGTACCCAAACCCCCAGCATCAGTGGAGAGGTGCCAAATTTAAGCCAGATCTGGAGTCTTATTTTCCTTCATGCTGTTATTAACCCTTTGTCTGCATTTTGAAGAAAAATTCCTGTTGAGTCTGTTTTGAATTAAAAATTCACCAGGAAAAAAAAAAAAAACCAACTTTCCCCAGCCCATGCCCAATCTTTTTTTTTTTTTTTTCCATGGAGAAACTACTGGGAACATTTTCTTTTGACCTTTGAGATTTAAATGGTAGCAGAGCAGAACCAGCCAGTGGCCTTATTCCCAGCAGGATGGCTTCATGGCTCTCCTTTTTAAATGTCACAGGCTAGTGGCTTTGCTTGCAGAGTTTTAAGGAGTTCATCTGAGAAAAATGCTTGTTTCAAGAGGATTTCTGTTTCCAGTGTCTTAATCAACATCATATTTGTAACAAGTATGGAAAATCAGAGAGCTACAGAGCCTGAAGTAACTGGAAAAAAAAGAAGAGGACTGTTGCCTTTGTCAAGGATTCTATGAAATCACTCAATGGTCCTCAGAAAGCAAGTAAAGAATTTTGGAGTCATTTGCTGGTTTATTGAGTCATTCTGGATGTTAAGCAGAAAATTTGCCTTTTTTATTTTTTTTTTTTCCTCAAAGAAATGCATTGAGTTCAAGCTTTCTGGGTGTCTACTGGCCTGCCTTGTGCTGCAGGACACTGAGCCATCTACAGCCGTTGTTCCTCTTGGCCTGAGGTCCCCGAAGAACAGGACAAGGCTCAGACTGAACTTTGGTGCCGTGGTTGTTGCATCGAAACATCAGCGCGCAGGAATCGCTTCTGTCACGTGAGCTTTCCCTTTCAATTACAGCAGCAGCATCTGTGGTATAAATGCCCAGATTCTAGCAAAGCCAACAGATTTTTCCAAGGCTCACCAGGCTATTTATAACCTGCAAAACTGGATTCAGATGAAAAACAAAACACAGCAGAAAAAATAATGGCGTGATGGTCCCTTCGAGGCAATGAAATATTTTTGCATCCCCATGACTCCTTCAACACAGCAAGGCAAGCC